TTTTAAAATATTATCCTTTATACTTTTATGGAGAATTGTAAAAGAAGTAGAAAAGAAAAAAATGGCACAATAGAGGTTGGAGCTTATTATTAATTGCAATTAATTCAAGCACCAAGACTCATCCCTGTGCCTGCCGGACCTCAGGGGTGTTCTTGGGGGCTGAGTGGGGGGAGAACCCCACACTATAAGCAGTAGAGGGTTATCCAGGGCTCCCTCCCCATCTCTGAAGGCTTCTACTCTGCACATACCTCTCTCCAGGTCTAACTGCACATTTGTGCCCATAATGCAAATGCCCTGAGACTGGAAAAGGGCAAAGGTGATTCTCGGGTTTCTTCTCCCCAGGACCGCAAAATCAATTTTGAGCGAGAGAAGGGCCTGGTGGAAGTGATCATCCAGAACTTGTGTGAGGAGGACAAAGGGTCGTACACAGCTCAGCTCCAAGATGGAAAAGCCAAAAACCAGATCACCCTGGCCCTGGTGGACGACGGTCAGCCGCACCCTGCCCACCCCGCCTATGCACCCGGCCTCAGCTCGCAGCTCTGGGGTCTTCTGTCCACCCTGATGCCCCTCTGTGGACCGGTGTTCCTCTCGGCTCATGCCAGCCCCTCCCTATGTGTTCACAGATTTTGACAAACTTCTGAGGAAGGCAGATGCTAAGAAAAGAGACTGGAAGAGAAAACAGGGTAAGAGTTACTGGGGTGAAGTTCAAAGGCCTGGGCCACGGGGCCAGGGGTCGGGACTGAGGAACTCTGGACTATTAGGTTAATAGATCCCTCAGCCCTGCTGGGCCCCCAGGGAGGCCACTGCAATTCAGTCCAGCTCTGTCCCTGTGCCAGAACGAAACAGCGCTTGCCCCACGAGGAGAGTGAGGCCTCCTTAAATTTTGCACCCTAGGCACCTCCCTTGCCTCACCCTGGCCTCTGCCGCTCTGGTGGGGCCAGAATCTAAGGGGACCCGTGGTCACTAGCTGCCCCCACCCCAGCTGGCTTCCCTGGTCTCGCCACCAGGTGGCGCCCTGGCCGAGCCTGGAGCTCTGACCGGTGGGCGTGTTTGTTTTGCACTTGCAGGTCCCTACTTTGAGGAGTTCTTACAGTGGAAGGTCACGGAGGACTGCCAAGTGCTGCTGACGTGCAAGGCAAGTCCCTGTCCCTGCCTCCAGCCCTGCCCCGAGGCCCACTGGGCCTCTATCTGTGGCTTGTCCCCAAGCCTGGTGGCTGTATTTGCTCTGCTCCCACAAAATC